AAACATGCATTGGAATGAAGTTGAGGAAATCAGGCGTTTGATTGAAGCAAAGGAATTACAAATTCTTCTTCTTCTTCCTCCTGGCTTTGAGCTGTGTGAGTGAGTTTTACTACAGAATTTGTAAATGGGGCGTGAGATCGTTTGATCGTGTCTTACATCTCTTCGAGAAGAACCTCTTGATGCAGCAGTCCAGGTGCGCTACTACTCCGATTATACTTGCAAATTATATTTAATTTGTTTCCTCTTACGCTGTTAGCCTGCTCTCCTTTCTCACGGAAGAAAGTAGGTTTCTGAGGTGACTATGCTCTGTCCATGCCCGCCCGACTTCAAACTCATGAAAAAATTCTCCCGTTTCGAATAAACATCTCACGCCTGTAGACGTCACCCCAACTTCGTACATTCATCCCGGTTTCCTATAATCAGTAATAACAAAATATCGGATTCGCCGAACTGATAAGGAGGAAGCGAGATCAGCGCCTCAAGTCTTCGAAGTTTGTACTACATAACTGCGTCCGCACGAACATTTTCATTTAACTTTCATTTTACCGGTAGTAAGCATTCGACTCGAACGATGAATATGAAATTGTATTTTGAGATAAATTTTACTGATACAGATAAACTGTGTGTAAAGTTTTATTTATTTATTTTTCAAAATCGAAGAATGACCGTCATGGCGACGGTGAGAAAGTGAGGTTAATGTACAACAAAGAATTTATCCCGCACTCCGCACTTACTACTATAGTACTTCTTATATTAATTGCTAACAACAGTGCTCTTCGATACGTCGGTAGCAATCGTCCAAGCCCGGAGCCAAAGCTCCAGTCTACCGACGTGGACCTCCAGATAACCGACGAGAAGCGACGGACTATGGAACGTGGCCACGAGAGACGCGTCATCCGCGCATTGCACTAGCTCGACGTGGCGGGAGGGCGTAGGTATGTCGTTCATATACAGACTGAAGAGCGCAGGGGAGACGAGTCGACCTCGGGCCACTCCCGCCCTCAAGCCGCGACACGACTGGAAGGTTAGGTTTGGAGCATTCGGCTGTCAAGTTATGACGAGATGGTGTCCACCAGGCAGGACGGTTATTACTTTTTATGTTAGAGTTTGCGTAAAACACCGCAGAAGTGTTTAGTGAAACACCAGAACTTTGTATTCCTCCGCGTTCGTTACTTACGCTTCGTACGAAGTTTGTGTCGAAAATGATGTTCGTTTTTTTTTAAAAAAACGGGGGGGGGGGGGGAATGTACATCGTTTATTTTGACGAAAAGTTGTAACACGTAAATCGAGACATGGGCGTGTTTCTGAAACTGATTTTTTCTCTCTCTCCAGGTTTGAGCTGTGGACTCAAAATGGCGTACCGAGGACTGAGCCGGCACCTGAACTTTGAATTGCCGGCCCCTGGAGACCGCTTCGTTCTGCAAGACCTGATTGGAGAGGGGACGTACGGGGAGGTGTACAGCGCAAGAGACACTGTCACTGGTAAGTGCAGCCTTTTACTTTGTGTGTTAGCGTATTGATCATTACGGGAAGAGATGCCTCCCGACAGCTCTTATAGTCGGCGCAGTAGCTTTTGGCCGATGGAATTTTCAATTTGAAGGCTAGGAGCGAGTCTCTTTTGCGATCGTATAATGCTGACTGCACCGAGGAGCTTGTCTGACTGAACGCCCAAACAAAAGAAATACACTGACCGTGCCACCTCAGGTACACAGAGTAGGCCCGCC